CTTCACAAAATAGATGGCATCATGAGGAAGGAAAATTAAGTGGATATTGAAGCAACATCTCAAGACATCAGTCAGGAAGTTAAAGCTTGGTCGCAAATGGGTCTTCCAAATGGACAATGACCCCAAGCATACTTCCAAAGTTGTGGCAAAATGGCTTAAGGACAACAAAGTCAAGGTATTGGAGTGGCCATCACAAAGCCCTGACCTCAATCCTATAGAAAATTAGTAGGAAGAACTGAAAAAGTGTGTGCGAGCAAGGAGGCCTACAAACCTGACTCAGTTACACCAGCTCTGTCAGGACAAATGGGCCAAAATTCACCCAACTTATTGTGGGAAGCTTGTGCAAGGCTACCCGAAATGTTTGACCCAAGTTAAACAATTTAAAGGCAATGCTACCAAATACTAATTGAGTGTATGTAAACTTCTGACCCATTGGGAATGTGATGAAAGAAATAAAAGCTGAAATAAATCATTCTCTCTACTATTATTCTGACATTTCACATTCTTAAAATAAAGTGGTAATCCTAACTGACCTAAAACAGGGACTTTTAACTAGGATTAAATGTCAGGAATTGTGAAAAACTGAGTTTAAATGTATTTGGCTAAGGTGTATGTAAACTTCCGACTTCAACTGTATCTCCTATCACAACCATTAAACTCTTTAACTGTTTTAAAATCACCATTGGCCTAATAGTAAAATCCCTGAGCAATTTCTTTCCTCTCCGGCAACTGAGTTAGGAAGGGTGCCTGTATCTTTGTAGTGACTGGGTGTATTGATACACCATCTAAAGTTAAATTAATAACTTCACCATGCTCAAAGGGATATTTAATCCTTAAGAGTCTACTATAAGTAACATAATAAAAAATCCCCATAAAAATCTGTCAGTTCTAGCTAGAGATATCAGGTTTTTTAATGGGCCCCGCATCTGCGGTGAAGGTTGCCGAGCTATAGCAGTGTTTGTCAGACCATGAGACACAGATGAAGAAGCCGGATGTGGAGGTCCTGGGCTGTCGTGGTTACATGTTGTCTGCAGTTGAGGCCGGTTGGACATACTGCCAAATTCTCTAAAACTGCGTTGGAGGCAGCTTATAGTAGAGAAATGAACATTCAATTCTCTGGCAACAGCTCTGGTGGACATTCCTGCTAAATGTATGCTTCCTCATCTTGCGACATCTGAAGCATTGTGTTGTGTGACAAAAGTGCACATTTTAGAGTGGCCTTTTATTTTATTTTGTATTTTGTATTATTTTATTTTATTGTCCACAGCACAAGGTGCACCTGTGTAATGATCATGCTGTTTAATCAGCTTCATGATATGCCACACCTGTCAGGCGGATGGATTATCTTGGCAAAGGTGAAATGCTCACTAACACGGATGTAAACACATTTCTGCACAAAATTTGAGAGAAATAAGATTATTGTGCTTATGGAACATTTCCGGGATCTTTTATTTCAGCTCATGAAACATGGGACCAAAACTTTACATGTTGCATTTATATTTTTGTTCAGTATATATTTCCTGAGCTTTATTATATTTCCTAGATATAGGACAGACACTTCAAACCTTATTCCTTGTTATAAAAAAAAGTCTGTATTTTTTGCCATTTATGAATGTGTTATTCAATGCGTGTCTATGGGCTATAGTAGTAAAGGCCAAATTCAATATTTGATCAAATAATGAAGAAAAAAAAAAGTTGACCTAAAGGGGTCCTAAAATTCAAAATAAAATAGCCAAATTATCCATGGTATGACCATCTTAAAACATTCCATATGCTAGCTTAGTACCCCCCTCCCCCATTTGCTTTTTTACCCATCTACCAATAGGTGCCCTTCTTTGTGAACCATTGGAAAACCTCCCTGGTCTTTGTGGTTTAATCTGTGCTTGAAATTCACTGCTCGATTGAGGGACCTTACAGGACTCCTGTAGCTCAGTTGGTAGAGCATGGCGCTCGCAACGCCATGGTTGTGGGTTCGATTCCCACGGGGGGCCAGTATGATAAATGTATGCACTCACTAAACTGTAAGTCGCTCTGGATAAGAGCGTCTGCTAAATGACTAAAATGTAAAATAATTGTATGTGTGGGGTACAGAGATCACAGGAGGCTGCTGAGGGGAGAACGGCTCATAATAATGGCCGGAACAGCGCAAATGGAATGGCATCAAACACCTGGAAACCATGTGTTTGATGTATCAGTCATTACCACAAGCCCATTCTCCCCAATTAAGGTGCCACCAACCTCCTGTGACAGAGATGGGGTAGTCATGGCCGTAACTACATATGAGGTCCAGACCTCTGTAATTTAAAAAAGATTATAACAAAAATATATTTTGTACTCAATAAAGAAAATCAGTTACGGCTCAAAATGTAATTATTGCATTGATCAAAGCTCAGAACGCTTATATTCTTGATCTGACAATTCTAATCGCGACAGCCTCTTTGCAAATGAGTGGAATCATGAACAGTGATTTGTTCGTTATGTTCTCTTGTGTCCCCCTGATTTGCCTTTTAGGGGGACCTGAAACGAACTACCCCAGCTCGCAGTCGGCTCAAGTAGGCAACTAGAGAGTCAGAGATGCTGCTGACAGTGTGTTTGCGAGATGCTGGACAAAAGGGCATTTTAAAACTGTCCCTCGACTCCTGCTATGTCTACAGACATCCCCCAAACAAACAAAAACTGACTCTTGGAGAATGAGTGCACAACTGGTAAATAGTCGATTATAGATATGTCAGTCAGTCAGGTAGTTGGCTGCCGGCAGAGACTTCTATTCAAGTGACGTTGAAGGGCTTTGGCTAGTATTACTAAGCCAGCTAGAAGAATGAAGTAAGAAGCCAATGTTAAACGGAGCCTACCTCAGCAGGAGTAAAAAATACACTACTAAGTTCTCATAATAACTTTGCTTTACAGAGAGTAGGCTACTGAGACAGACAGTGATGTGGTGCTCAGTGGTGAGGCTAAGGCAGGCTGCAATGCATGCAGGAGGAAGCAGAGGAGACCGAGAGATAAAGAAAGCAAGCAGAGGTTAGTACAGTGGTGGGGTACCCTGAGAATGTTTTTATATTCCCTATAGGCCTACATTAAAATGCACTCAAAATGCAAACAATACAGTTTTAAAAATGTCAAATGTTTTTGTTTCGTCACTGCTGCTACGTGTCAGTGTGAATAATGTCTCATATTTCTCCCCTTTCAGGGGTATGACATAACAATTGTATAGCTAATAGGCTATGTGTTTGTAGATCGACTGAGGTGAATGAACTTACAGTCGTCAAGTTGATATTGGCTGGGGTCATTTTTGTTTGTTATTGCTGTTCTCCAAATATAATTTAAATTGATAAAACAACAACTGGTTACGGCCCTGGGGGTAGTCATTTAAAAATAATGTTAAACACTATTATTGCACAGTCCATGCAACTTATTATGTGACTTAAGCACATTTTTACTCCTGAACTTATTTTGGGTTGCCATAACAAAAGGGTTGAATACTTATTGGCTCGACATTTCAGCTTTTCATTTTTAATGAATTTGTAAACATAATTCCACTTTGACATTGTGGGGTATTGTGTGTAGATCAGTGACACAAAATCTCAATTTAATCAATTTTAAATTCAGGCTGTAACACAACAAAATGTTGAAAAAGTAAGGGTGTGAATACTTTCTGAAGGCACTGTACATCAAAAGTCCTAATAAATATTATATCCTCATATTTATCTGCTGAAGTAGCATTCAAGATTGGTGCTTTCTTTTAATAATATACAATTTGGAGAAAATAAAACGGCCAACAAAAAAGTTTGGAACAAAAGTACCACCAAAAGTTAGCGAGTCACATTTTGTTCAGTCATAAAGAAAGCGTTATTCGTGCAACTACATTTAATGAACCCCCCAAAAAAGTAACACGTATGTAACTTTATTTCCATCATAAGCATGATTCTGTACAATTCGGCGTGTTTGCATCTCCCACAGTAGTTAACAGGATTATACGATGACATTAGCTCTACGAGCCAACGCCACCGTTTCGTCACTGTCCCATATCAGTAACATTTCGCCCTTTTTATCAGGGCGTGTCAGAGAAAGAACTCAGCGTAGACTGTTGGCTTATGGGCACAGCACTGTGGTGTGTACCTGCGTCACCTTATAAAGAGTCCCCCTTGTCTCTTAAAGACAGTTATATGGTACCTGGCCCACTGTTCTCCTTTATGTACCACACCTCCCTAAGACTACTCATTTTTCCCACAAAGCAAAAAAACACAAAAAAAAACACCAGAAACAAACATGAAATATCGTCCCGATTCCACACATCCGGTCATCTTTGGTTTTGGACAGTGGAATGCATAGTTGCAATAATGAGGGGGGTTTGGAGACCTTTCGCTCCAGCCTCCAGAATTCTCAGTTCCTCTGAGCTGTTTGCGCTCCTGAGACTGGGAGTGGGGAGAAAAGGGAGCGAGAGAAAAGAGGGAAGAGGCGTCTCTCTTTTAAGTGCTGGGCGCCGCCGGGTGTGTTGGGGGAGCAGACAGAGAGAGAGAGAGAGAGAGAGAGGCTTCTTTCAGCCCAGGAAGGAATAGTTTCCGGTAGTGTCTGTCTGTCTCACTCAGAAGAATGTCGTAGTTGTGGGGCTTCGCTCTTTTTTTTGGCAATCTGACTGAGACCAGCTGTCTGCACCCTCCCTCTCTTTCTCGTTCCCTCTTTCTCTCTCTCCCTCTGTTGCTTCATGACGTCTCTCCCTCCAGCCCACTGTCAGTCATGTCTTTGGATTCTGCTCGGCTACAGCCACAGTGGAACTTGATGTTGATTGGGCTGCTTTGATTAGTCTGTTTAGTTCATTTTCTTTAGTTGTTGTTGTTGTTGTTTTTTACAGTTTACTCCCCAAACCCAAAGGGAGATATATGCCCAAAGGGGGAGGAAATGGGGACAATTCAATGTATGTTACAAGGGGTTTCTCTGTACCCTCTCTACACCCCTCCTCCTCCTCTACAGTCCAGGTTGCCTGTGCAGCCAGTTGGGTCCTAGGAGGGGGTCTTGGCCCCCTCGTAGACCCCTGATGCGGAGCCGTTCTCCTGCTTGGGGGAGGAGTGACACGGGGGCGGAGGGACACTGTAGGGAGAAGAGCTGCTGCTGGCGACGGAGGGGGGTCGCAGTGGGACCGCCAGAGGGGTGTCGGACAGCAGGGGGTCCCTGTCCGGGGGGCGCAGGGCAGATGGCGGCACCGGGAGCGCCAGCGGGAAGCTGGTCATGCAGAAGATTCTGCCAACGCGCCGCGCCACCTGAGAGGGAGAGAGCGAATGCCACATGCCGAAGTTAGAGCCGCTCAGCTCACCATGTCACAGGCCGTGTCGCAAATGGCACCCTATTCCTTATATTGTGCCCTACTTATTACCAGAGCCCATAGGATGTAGTAGCCCAAAAGTAGTGCACTATGTAGGGAAGATGGTACCATTTGGAATGCAACCTAGTGTTCTACTGTACCACCAGCCTGAGAGAGAGGAGCGGGGTAAGGGCTATGGTACGGTATGCCTGACAATAGGACTCACTTTTAGGGGCTACGCTATCTATCTGCTTTGGCTAACTCTAGGATACACTACTAGCTTCCAGCACTCACACACACACACACACACACACACACACACACACACACACACACACACACACACACACACATACACCACACACTTGAGGTTTACTCACACAAGAACAGTCTACACATACAAACACATTTGGACTTTGGGGCTGCACACACACCACACACTTCTGCAGTGTGTTGCCATTCAGTGGTGTGTACCTGTGAGCGTATCTTGAGCGCGGGGCCCAGCTTCAGTCCCATGGTGTTGAGCAGGTGCTCCTCTGTGAGCAGCGGGAGTGTCTCTCCGTCGATGGCCTGCTCCCGAAACACCTTCAGGAGAGACACAGCCACTTCAGCCAGAGCCCAGACAGACACACACACATGCACACACACACAAACATGCAATCACACACTCACGCACTCATACACACACCAGCACTCATATACATACACACACACTTATGAATTCATACACACACACAAACCCACACTCATACACACATGCTCACAGAGCTTGCACCAACACTCACACCACTCTCATTTCCAACAGTGACGTGTGTGAGTATGAGTGTGTATAACATTGAGCGGGCTTTGGTGCTGTGAGAGATAACAGTGGTGTTATAGCTATAGAATCAACTAGTAGTAAAACTTCTGATTGAGGTGACAATAAAATATACTCTACCCTACTCTTCCACCAGCCCGCTCCTGTCCCCTCTCTCCCCCTGTCTCTCTCTCTCTCTGGTTGAAAGTGTGGATAAACCAGATTCCTGGTCTGGTCCTTACCTGGGTGTACTCTGCACAGCCGGCCAGGCCTCCCACAAAACCACACACCTCCTCCACACTCCACTTGCTTATGTCCTCCACCGGGGGCGCCGCAGAATCCTCGCTGTCCATTAACAGACCTCCCATACCGCCTGGGTGAGGAAGAGGGGTTGTAAATCACCAAGTCTTATTCTAAGGGCACACCGTAGCAAAACGTTTTGCAATGGACAATGAAAACGAGCGTTCCCTATTGGGCATGTTCAGGTAGTTATCGCCTTGTTTCAGTCAGTTTTCTTCCGTTTGGTGCCTAATGAACATTACCCAGGACAGACCTTGACAAACAGCTAGCATATACCCAAGAGCGCTTCTCCCTTTCTTTCTCAATGTCTAATTCTCTTTCACGAACACACTTTTTCTCTCTCTCTCTGACTCTCTCTTTGTCCTTGTGGTTGTTCGGCAATTACGTGAATAGACATGATATTTTATTGCATTTAAGAATGTGATTCTTTATCTCATCTCATGTTTAAAAGTGTACTTCATCCGTGTTTGCTGTTTCTCACTGTTGTTGTGCCCCTCCCCCTCTCCCTCCACATGGTTGTGGTGATAACCCTGTGTGTATAGGGGTCAGTGGCAGGGCCCCTTCCAGAGGGAGTTCTCCACGCTCATTTCTTTCATGTGAGAGTGTGTGTTAGTGTGTTCAAGTGTGCGTGCATGTATGTGAGAGAGTGTGTGTGTTTGTGCGGGTGCGTGTGTTGGCCCCCACTGTGAACCTGGCCATTTTGCCTCTGGTTCCCTAAGCAGTTTCTGTCTGTGTCACGACTTCGGCCGAGGCTGCTTCCCCTCCTTGTTCGGGCAGGCTTCGGCGTTCGTCGTCACCGGCTTACTAACCACTGCCGCCCCAATCATCATCACATGTCTCGTCTTGTCAATCACACACACCTGGTACCTGTCCCCTAATTAGTCTGTGTATAAGTTTTCCCTCTGCCCCCTTGTCCTTGTGGGTGATTGTTAATTGTGAGAGTATGTAGCTCGGTGGAGCTACTCATAACTATGGGGGTGCCACAGGGTTCAATTCTTGGGCCGACTCTTTTCTCTGTGTATATCAATGATGTCGCTCTTGCTGCTGGTGACTCTCAGATCCACCTCTACGCAGACGACACCATTTTGTATACATCTGGCCCTTCACTGGACACTGTGTTAACAAACCTCCAAACGAGCTTCAATGCCATACAACACTCCTTCAGTAGCCTCCAACTGCTCTTAAACACTAGTAAAACTAAATGCATGCTCTTCAATCGAACGCTGCTGGCACCTGCCCACCCGACTAGAATCACTACTCTCGACGGGTCTGACCTAGAGTATGTGGACAACTACAAATACCTAGGTGTCTGGTTAGACTGTGATTCTCTCCTTCCAGACTCACATTAAGAATCTCCAATCCAAAGTTAAATCTAGAATTGGCTTCCTATTTCGCAACAAAGCCTCCTTCACTCATGCTGCCAAACATGCCCTCGTAAAACTGACTATCCTACCGATCCTTGACTTCGGCGATGTCATTTACAAAATAGCCTCCAACACTCTACTCAGCAAATTGGATGTAGTCTATCACAGTGCCATCCGTTTTGTCTCCAAAGCCCCATACACTACACACCACTGTGGCCTGTACGCTCTTGTTGGCTGGTCCTCACTACATATTAGTCGCCAAACCCACTGGCTCCAGGCCATCTATAAATCACTGCTAGGCAAATCCCTGCCTTATCTTAGCTCATTGGTCACCATAGCAACACCCACCCGTAGTATGCGCTCCAGCAGGTATATCTCACTGGTCATCCCCAAAGCCAACACCTCCTTTGGCCGCCATTCCTTCCGGTTCTCTGCTGCCAATGACTGGAACGAATTGCAAAAATCTCTGAAGCTGGAGACTCTTATCTCCCTCACTAACTTTAAGCATCAGTTGTCAGAGCACCTTACCGATCACTGCACCTGTACACAGCCCATCTGAAATTAACCCACCTAACTACCTCATCCCTATATTGTTATTTATTTTGCTCATTTGCACCCCAGTATCTCTATTTGCACATCATCTCTTGCACATCTATCATTCCAGTGTTAATACTAATTGTAATTATTTTGCACTATAGCCTATTTATTGCCTTACCTCCATAACTTGCTACATTTGCACACACTGTATATATATATTTTCTGTTGTATTTTTGACTTTATGTTTTGTTTTACCCCATATGTAACTCTGTGTTGTTGTTTTTATCGCACTGCTTTGCTTTATCTTGGCCAGGTCGCAGTTGTAAATGAGAACTTGTTCTCAACTGGCTTACCTGGTATAAATAAAATAACATTGTGTTGCCAGGGTAGATTTCCCCCCTGTGCATTTACATTAAAATTTTAGCAGACACTCTTATCCAGAGCGACTTACAGTTAGTGAGTGAATACATTTTCATACTGGCCCCCCGTGGGAAACGAACCCACAACCCTGGCGTTGAAAGCGCCATGCTCTTCCAACTGAGCTACAGGGGACTATGTATTATTGGATTCCGTTACAGTGTAATTGCCAGGGATGTTTGTTTCCCCTGTGCCTGTTTTGTTGATCGCTATTGGAGCGCATTTGTGTGTCAACAAAGGAATAAACTTTGTATTCGTAAATTACTCTCCTGCGCCTGACTCCTTTCACCACACTCACCACAGTCTGTGTTTTCAAACGTTCAAATGTCTTTATTTAATGACAGTCATTATACACAGGTAACTAAAACCAGGTTTCTAATTAACCTAAAAAGAGATGCTCTAATGTCAAGGTTAAATTCTGTGTGTATTTGCAAGTTTAAGCTACGGTGAATTCAAATGTCCTCCGGAGGGACAGTACTACACAAGAGGGAAGTCCCCTTAAAGGGGTTCCCAACCTCTTTTTCTCTGTGGACCGGCATGTAAACAGCTCAAACCCGACCAAGAACAAGCGCATCTACCGGTATTTCTTCTGATTTCATAGGCCGCATTGGTAGGCTGCAAACAGACTGTGGCACTACTTTTCATCTGGTATGCAATCCTAATAGCTATTTAGCAAGCAACCTTGACTTCTAAAGGACCGTTCGAAAATGACTGGGGAAACATGTTGTTCATAACAAACCTTCGCGCAATGTAGCAAACGTTGAACCAAACTGAACGCATCCCTGCTTCGTAGCACCACAACAAGACCACTTATGCTGTTTGGACTAAAAATGTATATGTAATGTTATCGTTGCATAACACTTCTCTCGGATGCAGCAGTTGTTAGTTAGCATGCTAACGCCCGTTGAGATTGTCTGGTAGCATGGCTAGCCAAATAGCATTCACAGGTTGCGGTTGGAGTGACTTTTAAGTATCATACAGTTGATTGGTGAGGATGTTATGATGCATGTGTATGCCCATGCATGTGCATGTGTTACTCACCAGTGTGGAAGTAGGGGCTTGTGTAGGGGAATCCAAAGGGCAGCGACTGGCCGTAGAGCCCTGGCAGAGGGGGCATGGCGCCAGGTGGAAAGTGGTACTTTACATCGCTCTTGCCCAGCCCCGGGGTGAAGAGGTGATGACTGGGTGGTGAATCTGCGCCCGCCGAGCTACAGGGGGCACTAAGCTGACCCGAGCCCTCGCCCGCCTCTTTGGCACCGTCACACCCCCCCTTCCCGCTGCTCTCTTTCCCCCTGTCCCTGTGAAGCCCGTGCCAGTCGTTTGCCTTGGCACCCGAGCCCTCATGCCTATCCTCCCCCATCTCCGTCTCACTATCCGAGTCCTTAATTTCTTCATCCTGCCCGTCTGCATCTCCGTCCCTCCCTCGGCCCTCCCTCTCTTGGTGCTCTCCCCCCCTGGGCTGCTGGGGGCCTTTCCGGGAGCCCCCCTTCCTGAATCCGGCCCCAGCCCCAGAGCCTTGTCCCTGGGCATCTTTGGGCATTGTGGCCCCCGAGAGCCCCTGGTGGTTGAGGGAGAGCATGGGGGTGTTGGTGTGTCGGAGCACCAGCATGGCGTTTTGGCGTCGGCTGAGCTCCTCATGGAGTGGGTGGCCCTCGGGCAGGTGGTGGAGGCTGCGCAGGGCGGGGTGGTCCGGAGGGAGGCTGTGGGGTAGGCCCAGGGGGTCAGAACCCCCCAACGCACGCTGCTGCTGCTGCCTGTGGAGATTCTCCAGCTCCTTGTGTCTGAGCAGCTCTGCTGACATCTCCAACCTGGGACCGGACATAGAGGAGAGAGGTTAGTGCTGGTGGTACCATACACATGCTATACAAACACACACTACTACAGCATTAACATCACAACACTGACAGCCACACATACACACGCATCACGACACTAGAAGACAATGACAAACCTGGCCAAGTTCTGCTTCCGAAGCATTTCCTGTTGCCGGGCAAACATCTCAGCTTGGGCAGGCTGGAGGAAACCATAGCCTGAGGAAAACACACAGAAATCCCACATTGATAAGCACACATATTAAGAGATTTCTTACATACAGTGTACATGGAGTATTCAAATGCAATGACATAGACCCCCTGTGTAATATCAATGCCTCACAAAGAACCAACAAAAAACAACATTAGGATTGATTCATGATTCTTAATCAATACTTCCGTAGAAAATGTTCACATTTCCCAATTTTGGTGGGAATACAGCTAGTGTCTACCATAAGCCAATTCTGGTTCTGGTTTGCATTAGCATCTAACTCACCATTAATAAGTGCAGGCCCTATATTCATTTCTGTGGTTAGCCTGCTAGCATTAGCATCTAATTTACCATTAGGTGTAGGCCCCATATTCATTTCTGTAGTTAGCCTGCTAATGTTAGCATCTGATTTACCAGGGGCCTGGCACAGGGCAGAGGGCATGCCCAGGAAGGGGGGCCGCAGGTGGGGTCCCAATGCGATGTGAGGGGCATTCTGGGTGGACAGCAGAGGCGGAGGATGGGACATCTCCCTGCGGACACACAATCAAAAACACACCACATTTAAACCAACAGAAATGAACAGTAAAAGCTACAAACCATTAAACAAATTGGACCATAACTGACATGGATTTTTTCATTGGAATACTCTGCTATTACTTTCACGTTAAATGCACACATTCATGCAGGTTATGGAACAGTTTGTCAGGCCTAGAACCCTGAGAAATAGCGAGAGTAGACTTATTCGTAGGCTGGCTAGTTGGTTTCGTAAGAGTACTATACAGTATATTAGAAAGCACTGAGTATAAAACTGGTTTAAGGTGAAAGCCTGTATCTACTACAGTGGATCTCCAGGACCAGGTTTGTGGTGTGTTTTGGTGACTGGCGCTGGCCATGTTTGTACCCTGGAGTTTAGCTTCACTCCCTTCCCCTCCTCCTCAACCACACACACGCACACACACCCGCACGCACACACATGCATACTCACACACATGCATACTCACCCTTACACACACACGCACAGATACACACACTCACACATACACATAATGAGGGCTGACTACACAATAGGAGTGTGTCAGGCTCCGACAGCTGGGGCGGCCCCCGCGTCTCGACCGGGGCCACAGGCTGAAGGACCTTCTAATTAACACTAATCCTCCTCTCTTCTCTCTTTTTTTCATCCCTTCTCCCTCTCTCTCCCTCTCCGGGCCGTATTGAGCGATGGAAAAGGCGGCCGTGTCCTGCAAACCCTATTTATGAAAAGGGCTCTCTATTATGTGCTTCTCCTTTTGTCCTCATTCTGAGCAAACAAAAGCTCCTCTCTCTCTCTTTCTTTCTCTCCTCCTCTCTCTCTTTCTCTCCCTGCTCTGTCAATCGTCCCAAAGGGGCAGGGGAGACAGGGGAATTTGATGTAAGAGGAAAAATGAGCGGTTGGTGAAGGGGTGGAGAAGAAGAGACATAATCATCTGTTCTTCAGCTTGGTGTGTTTTCGGGGAGCATGTGGAAGTGTCACTGGGTACGGGGGGTGTGTGGTGATCTGTTGATTGTCTATGTGTCTTCTGGCAAAACCATTTAGGCCTTTTCCTACATACACACACATTTTCTCTCTCTCTCAATCATGTGCAATTGGGCCAAATATCATCAGTTTGCTGCTTTGGAGATGGGACTGATATGCAGCACACACAAGGACATCATGATGGTGAATACCAAATTACACTCATATATTTAGGGGCCCCGTGTAGCTCAGTTGGTAGAGCATGGCGCTTGCAACGCCAGGGTTGTGGGTTTGATTCCCACAGGAAATAAATAAATAAAAATGTATGCGCTCACTAACTGTAAGTCGCTCTGGATAAGAGCGTCTGCTAAATGACTAAAATGTAAACTGTAAAATATTTGCATGGGACCACAGCTATTGGTTTGGAATATTTGTGTTAAATCAACTAGCACCTGCATGGCTCTGTCCTTACACATACAGCAGAGAGAGAGACGGGGACGGGGAGAGAGAGGAGAGAGAGATGGAAAGAGAGAAACAGCGAGGTGGTGGGGGTGAGAACCATTTATTGATCGGCGGCCCGGCCGCTAAAATGTTAATGCTAATCGTATGACCGCTCTCTCCGGCGGTGCCTCGCACTCTGGTGGCAGCTCCAATTAATCTTGGAGAAGGGCCGGGGCCGTGTGACCCCGGGGCCCGCTAGCCGAGGCCCCGCCGCTGCTTATGTAATTACACCGCCCAGTGTGTAATCACCTGGCCTAATCCCTCGGGGCTAGCAATTAGCCTGGGCCGCGCCGCTGTGCTACGGCTACAGTAGGCTAGGGCCCCTGTATGCCTCACCCCCTCTCTGCGTCGCCTAGCCTAGCCTAGTGCTAGCCCGCAGATGAATAACGGTCAATTAAAGCTGCATGACTGAGGCCACCAGGCGTCTGCTACAGCATAATTAGGCCTAATCACAGTGCGGGAAGGAAAGGGGGAGAGACTGAGGGAGGGAGAGAGACAGAGGGAGAAGGGTGGGGGAGAGAGGGAGGGAGCCAGACGTGCTCTCTCTTCTTCTATAGGAAGCAATTTGGGGGGAAGGAGGCAGCGACACTACATTGCCAAAAGTATGTGGACACCTGCTCGTCGGATATCTCATTCCAAAATCATGGTCATTAATATGGAGTTGGTCCCCCCTTTGCTGCTATAACAGCCTCCACTCTTCTGTGAAGGCTTTCTACTAGATGTTGGAACATTTCTGCGGGGACTTGCTTCCATTCAGCCACAAGAGCATTAGTGACGTCGGGCACTGATGTTCGGCAATTAGGCCTGGCTTGCAGTCAGCGTTCCAATTCATCCCAAAGGTGTTCGATGGGGTTGGGGTCAGGGCTCTGTGCAAGACAGTCAAGTTCTTCCACACCGATCTCGACAAACCATTTCTGTATGGACCTCGCTTTGTGCACGGGGACATAGTCATGCTGAAATAGGAAAGGGCCTTCCCCAAACTGTTGCCAAAAAGTTGAAAGCACAGAATTTTCTAGAATGTCATTGTATGCTGTAGCGTTAAGATTTCTCTTCACTGGAACTAAGGGGCCTAGCCCGAATCATGAAAACAGCCCCAGACCATTATTCCTTCTCCACCAAACTTTACAGTTGGCACTATGCATTGGGGCAGGTAGCGTTCTCCTGTCATCCGCCAAACCCAGATTCGTCGGACTGCCAGATGGTGAAGCGTGATTCATCACTCCAGAGAACGCGTTTCTACTGCTCCAGAGTCCAATGGCGGCGAGATTTACACCACTGCAGCCAATGTTTGACATTGCGCATGGTGATCTTAGGCTTGTGTGTGGCTGCTCAGCCATGGAAACCCATTTCATGAAGCTCCCAACGAACAGTTCTTGTGCTGACGTTGCTTCCAGAGGCAGTTTGGAACTCAGTAGTGAGTGTTGCAACAGAAGAGAGACGCTCTACGCCAGGGTTCTTCAATTCCGGTCCTGGAGGGCCGAAACACCTCTGTTTTTCATCCTCTCCTTCTAATCAGGGGCTAATTCAGACCTGGGACACCAGGTGAGTGCAATTAACTACCAGGTAGAAATAAAAAACAGAAGTGTTTCGGCCCTCCAGGACCGGAATTGAAGATCCCTGCTCTACGCGCTTCAGCACTCTGCGGTACCGCTCTGTGAGCTTGTGTGGCCTACCACTTCGCGGCTGAGCCGTTGTTACTTCTAGATGTTTCCACTTCACAATAACAGCACTTACAGTTGACCAGGGCAGTTCTACCAGGGAAGGAATTTGACAAACGGACTTGTTGGAAAGCAGGCATCCTATGACGGTGCCACGTTGAAAGTCACGGAGTTTTTCAGTAAGGCCATTCTACTGCAAATGTTTGTCTATGGAGATTGCATGGCTGTGTGCTCGGTTTTGTACACCTGTCAGCAACGGGTGTGGCTGAAATAGCCGAATCCACTAATTTGAAGGGGTGTCCACATACTTGTGTATACATAGTGTATTAACCAGTTTCCTCTGCCTGTGTGTAGTTTACTGTGCATTCAGTTAAGTGCGTTACAAGCTCCCATATAACCAACCATAAACATATTTTCCTTATTTTATCAACAATATATACACTGAGTGTACAAAATATTAAGAAAACCTTCCTAATATTGAGTTGCACTGGCTGGATGTCTTTTGGGTGGTGGACCATTCTTGATACAAACGGGAAACTGTTGAGCGTGATCCCAGCATCGTTGCAGTTTTTTGA